GCCCGCCCCTGCTGGCGGCGCTCGTGCCCGGCGGCGGAAGGACGCTGGTCCGGCACGTGCTCATGGAGCCCGGCGGGTCCCGCCGCGTCAGGTGGGGCGGAGGGGTGGGGGGATAAGCGGGGAGGCACCGGGGGAACCCGCGGTGAGGGGGCTGAGGGGCTGCCATGGAGAACCGGAGGTACCCGCGCTACGGGAGGCCGCGGGAGTACCGGGGGAAGCCTGCGCTATGGGGGCACCTGGGAGGCACCGCGTGAACCCGCGGTACCGGGGAAAAGGAGGCACCGGCGGGAAGCACCGATGAGGGGCCGGGGAGGTGACGAGGCGACCCCGGTACGGGGGCTGGGGAAGCACCGCAGGAATCTCTGGTACGGGCATCCGGAGAGGCTGCCGGAGTACGGGAGGACCGGGGAGGCACCGGGAGACCCGCGGTACGGGGAGGCCGAGTCGGCTGCAGTCCGGGGCCGCTGTCCCGTCCCTCACCGCCCCGCTGTCGCCCCGCAGCACGGCAGAGCAGCTGGAGGGTCACCAGGCCTCGCGGAGCCCCCGCGGGCAGAAGGATTTCGTCCCTGACGGCTCGGCCCGGCAGGCAGAGAGGCTGCGGCGCTGCTGCGAGGAGCAGTGGCGGCTGCTGTGCGAGGAGCGCCCGGAGCGCCCGTAAGTGCAGCCCCGGGAACGGCCCTTCGTGGAAGGGGTGATGCCGGCGGGCAGAGCACAGCTCGGCGCTTACGGGTGCTGTCCTGTTGGTAGCAGCAGGTGTCGGTCAGCACAGTCAGCCCCCCGCAGTTTATCTGCACTCGGTGCCCGGCTGGGAGCAGCAGCAGTGCGACACAGTCTGGCTGTCCCTGCAGGAGCACAGGGACGTGCTGTGGCTTCAGAAAGCCACTCGTGGGGCTCTTGGTTTTCACAAGTGCCTGTATAATCCTGTAGCCTTTGCAGGTAGCATCCACTGCCTTCCTGGGCGTATTCCGAATTCCAGTGTCTTGTTGACACGCCTGTGTGGCCTTGTGCCACCTTGACCAGGTGTCAGTGTCCCTGCGTTGTCAGTTTTGGTGGTTTCAGCCGTGCTGCCAGAATTTGGCGCTTATTACTTGTGAGACATTCACACCCACCTCTCAACACACACCTTCTCTGCTTGGCCTGCAGCTATTAATTTTTCCCTGTGAGTCCCCGTGGGTGGGGTACAGTAATTTGAGGGTGTCTTGGCAGCAGCTGAGTAATTGTATGATACACAATCACAGAATGGTTTGGGTTGGATGGGACCTTAAAGATCGCCCCATTGGTCTCCCTGCCATAGTCAAGAACACCTTCCCCTAGAGCAGGTTGCTGAGAGCCCTATCCAACCTAGTCTTGAACACTTCCAGGAACGTGGAAGCCACAGCTTCTCTGGGCAAGCTGTGTTAGTTCCTCAATATCCACATATCCTGGCTTAGGCCATGCAAGTTGCTGTAGCCTGTGGACATGTCTGTGGTGCTGTCTGAAGACACTTTTAACTGATTGGTGATGATAAACTAGTGCTGCTAGATCCAGAGGATGATGCCTTTCTAATGCCTTGTAAACATGCCACCTGGAAATTTCCTGCCTTTTGACACCTTCCTGAGCTTGTTGTGTTTCTACAGCAGGAGCTGATTGTAGGCCACACTAGCAGTAACAAACTAATCTTTAACCTTCTCAGAGGGAATCTGGTGAAAGCTGAGTGGAAGCCAGAACAGGGCATCGTGGAGCTGAAGTCCCCTGCGGTGAGTGCTACAGAGTGTGTTCAGTACATCATCTCCTGCTGCCTCACAGATTCCTTAATTTGCTTATTGCAAAGGGAGGGAGCCTGGCTGTCAACAGGGAACAGCCAGAGCCCATCATGGATTTGTGCTCCTGTTCTAGGGCAAGTTCTGGCACACCATGGGGTTCTCAGAACGAGGCAAACAATGTCTGCTGCCTGAGGAAGCTCTATACCTGCTGGAGTGTGTAAGTAGGATGAAGTCACTGGGTCCTCACTGCTTGGAGGAGTTGTAGCAGCTGATAAACATCTGGTTCTCAAAAATTCTCAATTGTATTTCTCAAGCAGCAGTGTGTCACTGACAGAGTGTATTAGTTGGATCTGTGGCCAGTTCATTCAGCTTAAGCAGAGATCTTTGGGGTTGCTACTTGGGGTTTCTTCCCAGTATATATGGGAGAAAGAAATTTAAATGTGGCAGACAGAGTAGTGAGACCACATTGTGTTCAGTGCTTCTCTGCTTGCAGAAATGCTGCTCAGGGCTCAGGTGGATTTCTTTGCTGTAGAGAGGGGTTTTTTTGTCTCTCCACCAAAGGCTGCTATCAGCAGAATTAGTGCATTGATCTAAAGGGAGCTTTTATCCCTCACCAAAACAAATAGATTGTGAGCATCTGATGCCATTCCTTAATTCACGGCAGCAAAGGTGGGACTTTTTTACCCCGGCGTTCTGACAAATAGTTTGTAAATAAATTGATGGCAATAAAATGGTTTAGTCAGATGCTGAGTACAAGATCCCCCCAAAAGCAGAAAATACTTGTGACATGTCTTCAGCCTATATCATGGAAAAGGTGTGGTTCCTAGGCTTATGTTTTCTTTATGAGGAAACACCATTTCAAAAAACAAAAAAGGAGGAAAAAGAGGTGTAGCCTAAAACAGCCTCCTGGAGGTAATTTGCTATTCCCTGGGAAAGTTACTTATGGGATCTCTAGGTCTGTAAAGGAAGTAAATGCTTCTGAGGAGGCACCAGTTGATGCCACCTGAAGCTTCCATTCCATTCCTCTGTTCCAGTTCTCAGTTATAAGTCATAAGTACTTTTGTTCTTGTGCTGTGTCCGGAACCACTCAGATCATCAAAGTTAAATTATCTCTGCAAGCAGTGATTATTTTATTTTGCTCCCAACTGCATCCTCCAAAGAGATGCAGGAGCTGAGAGCTGTGGGTGGGAACTTCTTACCTGGCTGATCAAACCAGGGTGTGGGGGAACTGATATGGGAAAGGGACTGTAAGAAGTCCAGGTGGCACATGGGGAGAGATGGATATCATGTCAGGGAGGGTGCTGGGACCAGCTGTCAGGACCAGTGGGAAAGGTTTGGTGTGAGCTTGCATAGATTTGTTCCTGTGATTCACACCAAGCTTCTGCCCTGCAGGGCTCTGTCCAGCTCTTTTACAGAGATGTGCCCCTGTCAATCCAGGAAGCCTATGAGACCCTGTTGTGCCAGGAGGCAATGAGCCTGTCACATTACCAGGTGTGTTGGGACCTCCAGCTGTTGCAGGAGGATGAAGGCAGAAAGCCCAGCCTCTGCCATACAAGCTCTTCCAATGGCTGGAAGCAGGGTAGGATGATCTGGGAGGGAAGGGAGAAGGAAGTTATCCTCAGTTGTTCCCATTCACCTTCTTCCAGATGTTCAGTTCCTTTTTCCCCACCTTTGCTTTGAGTCCTAACCCTGGCATTTCCTCTTCTGCCAGCACCACACTGTGTTCACTCAGTCATAGTGGAACTGAAGTAAATTGTTTGTGTGTAGGGCTGTCATTTAACCCTCTTGCTTTCCTTTGCTCCAAGGTGTTCAGCCACTTGAAGCAACTGGGTTATATTGTACTGAGATTCGACCCCAGGTAACTTCTCCTTCCCATGCTGCTTTCTCCTTCTGAAGACCCTGAGACTCTCTGTACCCACTGCCTGGCCCTATGGGATGGCAGAGAAGAGGGGTTTGGCCCTGAATTCCACCTCTTGGGAGGATTAAAGGCTAAAAGTGGCACTATACCCTTCCTTGCTTCTCCCTCCTGAGGACGTGATTTGGAACATGAAATGGGGCATGAACTGAGGGCCATCCTGGTCCCAGTTGGGCATTTTCTGTTCCTTTGGTTTCTGTATCCTGGGGGCTGAGCAGCAAGTAGTTCCACTGCCTAACCCTGCTCTCAGCCTCCGTGTTGGTCTCTCCTTCCAGCACCGTCCCATCTCCCTATGAGAGGCAGCTGAACTTGGAAAGTCACTGCAAGAGCTCTGGGAAGCACCATCGCAAGAGGAGGAGAAGTTCCAGCCCCCGGTAAGGATGTGGCCCAAAGCCTTCTCCCATCCTCTTCAGGCCACACTGGCTCAGGAACAGCTGCTTTGCTGTAGTACCCCCAGGCCCTCCTGCTGTGAATGACCTTGTTTGGCACAGTTACCCTTTACTGTCCCCACGCGGTGCAGCACTTTCCCAGAACGGTTTGCAGTGTTCTCTTTTGTCACATGTGTGCTTCATGCCAGGGCTGAGGGGCAAATTGCCCCTAAGTCCCCCAGCTGTGGTTCTGAGATGTCACAAGAGAAGGGTGGAGAGATCAGTGCAAAAGGAACATGTGTCAGGTGCCTCCTCCTACTCTTTTTTAGCAGGGGCACAGCTACCACAATCACATCCTGTATTTATCCACCTCCTCAGTCCAACTTAGCTGCCAAGACTCAACAGCAGAGAGCAGAGTCACGTGCTGGGGCTTGCATACGTCCAAAACATCACCACAAACTGACAATGAGTAATTTTGCACATAATTCTGACAGTTCCCAGGAGATGGCGTCAGCCTTTCAGAAACGGGGTGGGGAGGCTGGAGAGTCTTTGTTGACAGTAAATCACTGCCTGAGGAGTTGTGGAATTGTAGGAACTGGGAGATGAAACTGCTGGTCTAAGAACTGCCCCATCTTCTCTGGAATCAGGGTCTGAATCTCACACCAATAAGAGGTGCTGGCAGGTTTCTGCCTGGCCTGTGCTGCTTTGGCTGAAGTCCATAGTGTTTGCATGAGGTGTTTGGGTCAGTGTCTGGGGTGTGGACCTGGCATGGCAGGTTGGGAACATTGTCTATACAAATGAAGGCTGGGATTCTCTTGGGCGTTGAAGTCAAACCTTATGCAGGACTTCTGAGAAGTTTAATCTGCCTTTGGCATTCACTGTTTAATTTTGGCCTGCTTTTTTCTTTTTTCATTTGTCTCACAAACAAGGAGGTTGTTGTCAAGGGTTTGCAGACCTATCTGGGGGTTCTGCCACCTTTGCTGTCCTTTCTCAGGCTTGGCAGACTGCATTCTCCCTGTTAGCAGGGAGCAGGCAGGATTTAAAAGAAAGAAAGGTCTACCACATGCTGTCCCTGAATTTTTTACTGTTCCTTTATCTTTAGGTTGCATGAGAAGAAACATAAAGTATATGAGGACCTTCCAGAAGCTGAAGAGACCTCCAGTAAATATGGAGATGACTGTGGAAATTCCATTCCTGTGGATGAAAAGCCCTTGTCAGTGCAGCCAAAGGAATCAGATGCTGGCAGTGCAGAGGGAGAGTCAATGCCAGTTCCCCTTGATACAGGACAGAAGGACTCTCTGAGCTTCTGCAGCAGGCAGGCTGGAGAGCAGAAGGAGAGCAGCACTGGCACCCATGCACCCCGCTGGGATTTTACCACCATCACCTTTCCCAACGTGGCCTCAGACCAGCCGTGCACACATCTGCCCTCCCCTGACAGCAGGCTCCTGCCAGAGAACGTGCTGTGCAGGGAAGTGGATGCAGCTTCCTGGTGCACACGGATCAACCAGAAACAGGAGAAGCTGTCACGGAAGGAGAGGAAGCAGCGGGAGAGGGAGAGCAGGTACAAGAGCAGTGTCAATGCCGACCAGGAGGTGAGGCGCTGCTCCAACTGGCAGGAGTACAAAGCCCTCTTGCAGCAGAGGAGACAGCAGAGAGTTTGGAAACGACCATCACACCTCTGGGAGCAAGCTGTGACACCACTGCTGCGGCCAGAAGAAGTGACCTCACCAGGTAGTGGCTCTGGGAACTTGACAGGGACCATTCTCTCCTCCCAGCTCTGAGAAAGAGTGCCTGGTATGCAGCAGCAAAAGGGATGACATGGGGAAGCTGAACATCAGTTTTGGGGTCAGTACTTTGAGCAGGAGAATCTTTCTATAGCCCACTCAAGTGCCAGGATAAACAGGGCCTTGGGAGGGCTTCTAATCCATTCCCCATGTCCTGCTGTATTGCAGTCCTTCCTGCTGGGCTGTTAGGCATGTGCAGTCAGGGCCAGCAAGATCCAAAGCAACTGCAGAGTGTCTGGGCTGTGTGCTGGGAGGAGATGAGGAAGTTGAGGTCTTTGAAGTAGCCAGTGGTGACTGTGGAGCTGCCAGCCATTGTCAGAGGAGGAAGGCTCGTGGGTGGTGTGGAGTGCTTGGAGTGCCCTGGGAGGGAAATTGCTGGTCTGATCCTTTGCCGTTGCTTCTCCCTCCAGCTGCGCTCCTCCAGCAGATCAGTGTGTTGCAGCCCTCCCACATCCTGGATGGAGCCTCCCGGTTAGTATCCAGCCAGTCAGCTTGGAGCTCTTGGGGAGCGGGGAGTGTCTTGTGACTGTCCCTGCTTGTGAGGTCTGTGAGGTGCTCCCAGCAGCAGTTTGGGATCAAGAGTGACAAGAGAATCTGGTGCTCTGCTCCATGTCCCCCTTGCATCTCTAGTGAGGGGGTGACATTTCCATGAAGTACCAGGTCCTGCAGCCACAGAGCCAGGGCTTTCCAGGCCAACTAGAACAGCAGAGTTCTTCTCTTATTCTGCTCTTCCCTCTCTGCACCCCAGCCAGGTATCTCCTCCAGAGGTTTGATTGGATTTCACCTGTGCCTCATCCCTGGAATCTGCTGCCATCCCTGCTTCAATGGTTATGAAACCTTGGCTTTGGAACTTTGGGTTCTGCTCCTGCCTCAGAGTCTGTTTGGCTCTTGTGTGCAGTCCCTGCTGTGCTTTGCTCCTGTCTTTGTTAGTGCTGCTTCTTGCGAGGACATGGGGTAGATGTGAGCCAGGATCTTGTTGTGGTTTACTACAGGAAAGCTCTGGAAAGTGATTAAAATAATTGCAAGGTCACTTCTTTGAGGAGTGAAGCCTTTCAAGAGACCCGAACTAGTCAAAACTAGACCCAAACTAAAGGGAGTTTTTGCTCCCTCTTTTCTCTGCTGTACCCGTACTCTGCAGTGTTTCCATCCCATAGCTGTGTGGCTGTGTTCCCCTGCAGGCTGCAAGAGGACCCAGAGGCCATGAAGATAGACTTCAACGTGTATCAAGCAGACGCTGTGTCCAAGTTTAAGAAGACAAGCCCTGGGAAGCCTCATGTCAGGATGTGTGTTCGGAGGTACCTTGAGTCTTGTGCTGTTTCTGAAATTTAGCAGCTGTTGTTGTGGAAACGAACTGCTAATGATCTGTAAATGACCCAGCATCTTGTGAGCTTTACAGATCATCCGAGTGTCTTGCTTGAGGGTGGTCCTGCCCAGGATTTTTTTTTTCTTTCAGTTCCTCCTCCTTTGTTGGAGGCTGTGGTTGACGGTTCCCCCCCTTCCCGCCCCCGCCCTTGCACTCAACCCACACTATTTGGTCATCTGGTTGCTGCTCATGTCTGAGTATTACCTCGAGTCAGGAGAAAGAAGCCACAGCTTTTATGCAATGCTTGTGAAACTCAGGTAGAGCCCAGTGCTGCAGGAGCTGAATCCTCAGTCAGTGCAGATCACTGTGGGTTTCTGCAGACATGAACTTCCCCAGAGCTTTCTAGAGGCTCTGAGCCATGGGTTGAGTATTTTGATCTTTGTCAAGTGTAATGTTAAGATCACTAAGAACAGAGGGTAGGTGTCCCCTTTCTTGCTGGATCCAGAACCTGATACTTAAACTCCATGGCTAGGTACAAAGTTCAGTTTCTGCCTTTTCTCATTTTGCTTTACTAAAACTGTCCCTCTGCTCTCTGCAGCTGTAGTAGACAGAGCAAGGAAGGTGGTAATGCAGTTTTACCAAGGTATGTCATGAGCCAGTAGGATGATCCTTGTTGCATAAATATTTTCATTGATGAGCAAACAGACCCTGCAGAATTGAAGGAGGGAGAAGCAGGTCAGATGTTGATCCCAGCAACCTAAAAATCTTCCCAGCACAAAGGTATTAAGATTGCAGTGGATTGGCAATTTGCCAATATCCTTGTGAGCCGCATCTAGTGGGCACAGCATGGAGCAGTGTGCAGTTACCCTTGTTTTTGGCAAAGGATTGAACAGCTCCCAGTTCCTGGCATGCTGGGTACTCACTCTCAGGGCTGGCAGCCTCCTGCTTTGACTGAAATGGGTGGGGAGGATCACTACCAGTTCCTCAGGCCAAAGGGAGCTGTTGTGATGGCTGGCCAGCACAGCTTTGCCTCTGTGTTCCTGTTCTTTGGAGAACAACCAGGATGTTTTTTTCTCTCTGTAGCTTTGATGAGCAGATCCCATCCCTGCGGGCTTTGAAGCAGGTGACGTATCTGAGTGGGGACGTCCCGCTGGTCTTTGCACTGGTGGATCATGGAGAAATCACCTTCTATTCACTGAAGGAGTTCAAGCTTCCCGTTGATGTTAATCACTGAAGTTGCTGTCACTTGCAGAAATGGGATAAAGAGAAGAGCTTTACTCAGGGGTTGTTTTCCTGATCAGTGAAACATTACAGAAAACAGAGCCTGTGATAACTGGAACCTTGGGAAGTTGGCCACTTTATTGGCTGTTCACACCCACCCAGATATCTCGGGCATAATGTGTAATTTACAGCACACAGGTGTTTGGCTTAGCTGGGGCATTTCTGGGCTGAAGTACACACTGCTTTGTTCTTGAAGCCACTGGCTCTCAGCTTTTTCACCTCACAGGACCACCAGCCTGCCTTTCCTGAGTCAGCTTTTGCTGACTGTGGACCAACACTTTGTTGGTGATGCTTTTGTTACATGTAAAGAACCACTGTGCTACACCAGTGGAATGGTTGGAGTGTCACTGAGGTCAGTCAGGGACAGAATAAGCTGATCAGTGCTTGAGGCCTGAGCCTCTTGTCAGTCAGCTGTGCCAACGACCATCAGATCAGAGTATGGTCTGAAAACGGTACAGCCATGAACTCAGTCACCTGGAGGAAGGTTTCCAGACACTTGAGAGCAGGAAACTGTGCCTTGAACACAATTTCATCACCCAGAGGTCACAGAAAGCCCCAGAGCATTGCAGACAGCAGCTTGGCCTCCTGCAGCAGCTGTGCTGAGATGCATTTTGGCACACAGTGTTAAGCCATGCTAAAATTTGACCACCACTGTCAGCACAGTGCATCTGACAGTCTCACCAGGGCTGAACTCCAGCCCCTCTCCTTCACCCCAACATCCTCTTTCCTGGCTGTGGATCCTTGTTATTTCTCTTGCACGTGGGAGGTCCCTGACTAAAGAAAAAAGCTACAAATTCCTCATGAGCCTTCCAATCTTCTCTCCACCAGGATATCTAGGTATCAAATTTGCTTTAGCCTCTATGCCAAAAGTGCCATGTGTCAGAAGGCTCAGTGGGTGGAAGTCAGCTAAGCATGGCTGTGTTTGATATCAAAGTTTTCAGAATTGTAATAGCAACTGGTTTAGATATGTTTTATTTGGTATTTT